ATTGATTCAACATGTTTCAAAATTGAATTGACAAAAAAGTGATACAGAGTAAAATCTTTCAAAACCATGATATTAATATATTCAGACTATATAAAATTTTGGTGTAATAATTTTATTGTATTGCACTTTACAATTGGAAGTAATTTAAATATCCATCCAAAACATATGGGTAAATTAATTCTGAAAGATCATAGAGTGAGAGGTGATATTCATGAAGAACAATGAGGCAAATTATCTGTGTATGTGTAGAAAGATGGTGAATTCATATCAAAAGTGAATTCATACAAGAATGGGAAAGAAATGAAGTAGTTTTATAAAGTTGCTGTGTCATAAATATAACTGTAGCCATTGATAAACTGAAATAAATTTAGATTTTAATGTATCAGAAGTATACTATATTTCAATACATAACTGAAGGAGTCAAGTCACCTGGGTATAAAGTCTGTTTATGAGGCCTTGTATCTTCTATAACAATCCCAGAAGAATGTACTGTATAGGATTGATATCAGAGCCTCAGTTGAATTTCAGGAAAAAATGTCATTGAACAGGTAGATAAAGCAAGCAATTTAAATCACAATTTAGCATCCTCATTTGAGAAGTACTATGTCCCCACATTTTATTCAAGGCTGAAGTACAAACTCATGATATTTCTGTGAGTTTCAAGAGTCCTAGAGTGAGGAGAATGAGGATAAGCAATGACATTGGAGAAGAAACTCCTTAAATAGTTGAAAGATGTGATAACTAAGTAATAAGATCACAAAAGTAAGATCTTTGTGTTAACAATGGCATGTGCATTCCATGTTCATGGTCTTACATCCAATATCATAGTCTTGATGCCAGTACTAAACCCATTATTTTCTTGTTCTATAGTGTTGCATTTACCTTCTCTAAAAGTCTTGCAGGTTTTCATTTTGCATTTAGGTTCTGAGATGCATCCTGAGAATTTTATGAACAATAGAAGGCTGGTGTTTGAATTCAGTTTATAATCTATGGAAATGAACATTTTCAGTGTTTGGGCATTGCTTTTTAATTTCAAGAAACTTTTACTACTTGTAGAGTCCTTTGTCTGGTTTCTGTCCCATTCTCTTGTTCTGTGTCTTTTCTGGTAACATTACAGCATTTTGAGGAAGGTGCCTTTATAAAAGTCTTGGTTATAAAAATGTCTTTCTTATTCCTTTGCTCTTTCCTTTCAACATTTTTCTGTTGTTCTTATGTCTTTTGCATCTTTCAAAGAAATAACAAATCAGTGTTAGTATCTACAAAATAAGGTAACAGTGGAATTTTAATTAGTTCTGTCCCAACTTCATCTCTCCTTTTTAAATTTTAGCTTTCATTATTAGTTTCAATGAGGCAGTACTGAGTGTGTTGATAATTTAGGAAGAAACTGCCATAATAACATTATTAGATCTTTCAATTTATTGGTGGAAAATACTTCTACACTTATTTAGAACTTCTTTGACATCATTTATTACTTGCACATAATTTTTACATTTATACATATCTTGTAGCTTTGTCATTTGTATATATTTGGTTAGTTTTATAATGAAGTATATTTATTATTTGAAAATTTTATATACATAAATAATATATCTTGACTATTTCCCATTCTCATTGTCCTGGAACTTCTAAACATAATTCCCTTCAAACTTCTTGCCTTTCTTTTGTTGTTATTATGTTTTAACTCACTAAATCCAGTAATAATTGCCCAAATGCTCAATTTTGTGAGGTAAATTGTGAAATGTTAATAAACCAATCAGTTGCCACCTCTTTCCCAACAGAAGATAATGATTTTCACTGCCCTAGAAGCCATCAGTTGCCAATAGCTTGTCATCTAGGGGCGGAGCTTAAGTACCTCTTACCCATAAACCTGTGTTGGAAATTTCAACTGAGTTGATCTTATTTAGATACAAGAACTCATTTGAGTTCATGAACACAATGGTCATATCATATCAAGAAGACAGTTTCAATATTTCCACTTTCCTCCACTCCAGCTTTTACATTCTTTCTGCTCAAACGTCCAAGATATTCCTGAGTCATGGTAGAAGGTGAATAAATTGATGAGGTGTCCCATGTAAGGCTTAGCATTCTAAGTTGCTTATTCTCAGCACTTTGAATAGTAAGGAATTTCTGTATTAGTACTGACTCCACTAAAGTGCAAAACTTCTCTGACTGTAGCTGAGAGCAGAACATGAAGCAAGCAGTTTGACAACATGACTGATAAAATGATAGCAATAGGTTCCCTCTAAGGTCTCTAACCTCTTAAATATAGTATTGTTTTAATTTCAAATCACTAATTGTTGGTATTTTGGAAAATGATTGACTTTTGTGTTTTAATTTTGTATTCTTTACCTTACCTGATATCCCTAATGAGTTTTGGAATCTTAGTCCATCTTTTTCGAACTTATATAATCGCATTGTAGGAAAAAGTTTTATTTCACTATTCTTTATAGATATTGTGTTTTTTCTCTTGTATCATTCTTTTAGGAATTTAAGTAAGATGTGGAAAATAAATAATAGGGTATTTTTGATATTTCCACTCTGAATAGAAAAAAAATTCTTCCCCAATGTTTGTTGTTATCTGTAAATAGACATTTTAATCAAGTTGACAAATTGCTTTCTATACCAATTTGCTGAGTTTTGTCTTATAAGTAATTATTGAGTTTTTAGTCTTTGTTTTATTATTTTGTGGCATTAGAGATGGAATACAAGTTTTTTCACAGACTAGATATTTTACAAGGCAACTGCACAGCTATAGATATTGAATTAAGTATTTTATGAACTGATTGATCCAACTTTGTACCTTTTCAATCTGATGATACGATACATTATGTTACTTTTGAACATTGAACTTATGCAGCATATCTTGGATAAATCCCGTTGATTTTGGTTTTGGTATGTAACTCTTCCACATATTGTTTGCCTTATTTATTTATTTTCCAGTTCTAGGTTTTAAACACTAGATCCATCTCTATAATCAACAACTATTCTACCACTGACTTACATTCATAGTTCATGATGCAGGATTTTATTTACTAATATTTTATTGAATATTTATAAATGTTATCATGTTTTGGTCACAATAATTTAAGCAGGGGCATCAGCAAAAGAAACTTTCAGTAGTAAATCTGAAATGAAAGTTATTCAAAGTAGGGTGGTTGGAGAGGAGCTGGTGATAATTAATTAGATTAATATGACCATAAGATAAATCTTATATAGTAGATATGGTAGTAAATGCCCATAATCTCACTGTGTGTGAGGCAAGAATGATTATGACCAAGACCAGCATAGACCAGAATATGACCAAGACCAGCATAGTAAATTTCAGGCTAACCAAGTCTACATAAAAAGATCAGAGTTGTTAAAATAAAAAGCTGCCTTAGAAGAGGTTATTATGGGAAAAAATAAGAGCTCATTCAGCAAATTGAAACAAGAATTTAAGAATAGTTGAAGAGTTGCAGTCTAGTCTAGTTGGAAACATGGGTAGGAAGCAACAATACGAGATGAAAAGAAAGAAAGCAATTAAATAAAAATTTTAAAAGCTGAAAATTCACTTCAAAAGGAAATTAAAAATTATCAAAATTAGAAATAAACAATAAAGGTGGACTGTTCTAATTAACTAATAGTCTCAACCTTTTGAGAACATTTACATCTTATTACAGTCCTTATACAACACACTTTATATAATTGGACACTTTAAATATAACATTTTGTATCCTTGAACTATTAGAGGCACATACTTATAGTTTTGAACTTATACTGACTTTTGCTTATGGTTCTTTTTATCCTTCAGTGCTTTTTAAAGTAAGATTCTGGTTGCAGTTGAAATATTTAGAAAGGCTGAAGTTCAATATTCACAATAATAATAACAAATTTACACTGTGGCATACATAGCTAAGTGAATTTCATATATTTCCTAAAGAAAGCATCAATCACAGGGGATATTAAATTTCATGTTACAAAGCAATTCTGAAAGTTGAAATGGAAAAGGAAAAACAAACATGAAATTCTATACATATTAGATCCTCAAAAACGAGAGTAACAAGAGCAACAGTATTGCACAGAGTAGTGTATTAGAACTTTGAATACGAGTCCCCCCCCAAATACAATAAATACATAAAATAAAAATACAGAACTATGAATAGAGAAACCTTTGAAGAAGGAACTTTGAAGAAACCTCTAGGTTTTAAAACCACTTACACTCACTCTGCCTCCCCATTCCCAACTTGCTCATTGAGGAACATACAAGGACCATGTAGAGAATTCCCAGCAGTTCAAAACCCAGAGCTCAGTAACATAATTTGTATAAAACACATAGGAGCCAGGCACGTAGGATTTCTGATAGGCCAGAATACCCTGAATGCCCTTGCTTGTAACTGCTATTATCCTTAGAAAGCTGTTTGTTCCAGCTAGAGAGTCAATAGTTAACTTTTTGTGAAACTCACTACTCAAGTCTCTGAAAACTTTAAATAGACACATTAGAAATAATTTTTAAAGATTTATTATTTAAGCATATGCATGTTTGCACACACTTTAGTGCAGATGCCCAAGGTGGCCAGATACATTGGCTATCTCTAGAAGTGGAGTTACAGGTGGTTGGCAGCTAACTGATATGAGTGGTGGGAACTAAACTCAGACCTCTGGAAGAAGTAGTGCACTCTCTTAATTGCTGAGCCATCTCTCCAGCACCTAGAAGTATTTTTAACACAGCATTTTGTGTAGATGGGTGCTTGTCAAGACTCCCCTTCATCTCTTTTATTAGATAATAAAGCCTCTGATAAAGCCTCCTGAGTAATTATTTCTAGAGGGGTACACTTTATATAAACCAGGCATACTTTTAAGTTTGTGCTCTATGTATGTAGTGTCTGTAAAGTGACATCTATTCATAAAATGAACATAAAGAGTTATTGATTCAAGTAGGCTAATTTTTTCTTGTCAGAATACACAAAGAATTTTTTTTTGTGTAGCATAACTATAAATAATTGCATCTCTCTCATTTTCAGTGTTAGTGGAAAGTGGAAGTGTCATTTCATTTGTGGGTTTTATTAATTCTGGATATTGTAACATTTATAGAAATGTTGTTGGACTCGTGAGACTACGATTAAACAAGGTGGTAAGTTTCAACTTATTTGTTATTTTAATAATTAACTACTCCAATGAATAAAGGATGCTGGGAAGACTTTTTCATGCATATTGAGCATCATTTTGTTTTATTTAATAAAATAGCAGCTGAATAATTTTAGGAATTTATATTTGGTTTATTTTTGTGTAATGAGATGTAAGACTTAGGAATAAAACATATGGAGTAAGACAAGTCGACTTAAAAATTTCAAAATAACCAATAACTACAATATAAGATAATTCTCTCCATTGTCAGGGCATTGGTGTTTAAAACCAAAGCAAGGTGCTACCACAATAGAACAGAAGGATTAGATGAACTTTATCACACAATTCACCTTTTCTCTAATTATTTACTCAGTGAGAAAAGAAAATCTGTCTACCTAAAAAAAGATTCACATTTATCCTCACAGTCCCTGAATTAGTAGCAATATAGATGTCCATTAGTGATTGAATGGTGTTATTGAACCAATGATAAGTTTAAGTTGTATGAATCTTGACACAGGTGCTGTGAGAACATCCAAACCTAAAGAATACAATGTACTCATTTCACTTTTTTTAACCAGGAAAAAAAAGTGTCATATAATAGAAAGAATGAGTGATTATTTATCTGACAGTATTTAATAGGGTTTAATTACATTTGTAAATTGGCTTATGCTATGACTCATTATTCATACTCAGGGTGAAGATTTACCATTTACAGAAATGGTAAATATTTGAATGGTTATGACTTTGACATCACCACACATACTAAAGATTTTTCCTCCTTGTCCTAGTGCCTGTGAAATGCCTACCCTTGGGGAAAACTTTTTCCATTGCTTATTGTTACCTGATCATCATTATGTCACCCAGAAAGAATGTCAATGTTCTCTTTAGAACCATCTGTACTGAAACTGCAGTAAAGTCTTCTCCACATGGCCCCAGATGTGAAATAAATTACTAGATTATTGAATTAAAATCACTAAGAAAACATGTAAGAGTTAGAATATAAACATGACTCGCTTATAGTGTGTGCAAGGACCTGAGATCAATCCCCAGTAACACACTTATGAGCAAACATGGATAGACAATAAAAGATCAAAGACAAGAAACAATTCCTATCTCAGTTAACACCATCACTTATAGCCACTACAGTGTTTCAATAGTAACCATGTCTCCCAACTAAGGCTAAGGTTTACAATGATTTGTAGTTCACAAAATATGGTAAAGTTACACTCTTATCACAATGAAGTATTCTAGGGCTTTTGATGAATTCAACTATGTTACCATTTCTTTGACATCTTAATGTATTCAAAAATGAAATTTAGGATAGGGAAGTGGATCAGCTGGTAAAGGTGCTTGTCACTGAGTCTGACAAACTTAGTTTGATTTCTGGCTCACGTAGTGAAAAATGATAACTGAATCCTGTAAGTTGTCCTCAATCCTCTACATGCATATTATCATCATCACCATTAACTCACACATATCCTGAATAAATAAACATTAAAAGTATGTGATAGATATGTAACTAAATAATGTTGTCAGCTATTTTGCATATCATATACAGGTATTTATGGTATAGAAATGAATACTTTTTTTTGGAATGGATTTTCACTTACTGATACAAATTTAAGTAGATTTTGTGATAAATATATTTCTCCTGTTGTTTAGGTATTGTGTTTGCATAGCTCATTTAAAAATGTAATGTAATGTAGTATAGATTATAGATAGTTATCTATAATAGTCAAAAGTTATACTTAAGTTAGGTTTTCCAGATATACAGCAATATATGTCAAATGGATAGGAATTCTTCAAACCTTTCAAAGACCTACAGAATATGGCATTAAAAATGATTTAGGGTTTTTCTTAACAGTACGGCACAACTGCTCCTGGCAACACCACCAGTGTCAGAAAGGAAGATGGGCATCGAAGACTCATTATGAAATTTACTTCCAATATGAAAAGACTAGCCATTGGGCAAGAAACAGCTCTTGTCTGGACTGTTTGACTTTATGCTGTATAAACTGGACATGCAGGATCCATAGAAAAGTGATTGCTGATACAAGATGGACATTGCTACAGGGTTTCTGCTTCATGGAAGAGTTGCCAGACATTCTACAGGACACAGAGAAAAGTGACTGACAAACTGCTAATACAGGTGGACAGTTTAAAGTTTCCTGCACTGCTGAGGAGTTTGCCAGACACACCATGGCCTATAGGGTGAAGATGGAACATTACAGAAGAACTTTGGGTGATTGGCCAGGCGAGTTGTCTCTGTCATTTCTAGAGTTATATATTATCCTTCTGTGGTCTTTGAAAGAGTTAAAGACAACTAGTTACATTTATAGTTTTCCTTAGTTAGGATTGAAGATTAGTTACATATAAGACTTTAGACTCACAAAGATAGGATAGATGATGAAATATTTTCTTTAAATTGTGCTAAATGGTAATGGATTAAATATCGTTAACAATAGTTCTTATTAGATAAATGTTTTGTTATATATTTTACTATGTTAAAGTTAAAACCCTTTTTATTCAGACAAAAAAGAGGAGAATGGGAGATGTCATTCTATAGATATGTTTCTCTTATTGGTTAATGAATAAAGCCCTGTTGGCCAATAGGAAAGCAAGATAAGCAGGACTAGGAGACAAAGAGGATTCTAGGAGATGTAGTAGATGAGTCAAGATGTAGAGACTTAGATAAAAGAGGTCTGGATCCTCTCTCTGGTAAGCTAAGACCACATGAAAAAACTTAGATTAATAGAAAAGGGTTAATATTTAAGACAGACCTAGCAATAAGAAATGCTAGTAACAGGCCAATAGCTTTATATCTAATACAGTGTCTCTGTGTGTTATTTGGGGCTAATGTGGCTCTGGGACCCAGCTGATGGGAAATCTGATCATAACAGGTGCTCTTGACTGCATTGCTGCTTTAATATATAAAAGGAATAAAATAAAATGAATAAGATAAAATGTTAATGTTTTCTCAGATTTCAATAAATGTGATTGCTAATACAATTTAGCAGGATGGTTTAAGAATAGCTGATTTTCTGACAATTAGAATAATTTTCTTAAAGCTCTATTGTTCATATCTTTTTCAGAAAAAAGTTAAAAAACTTGTTTATATGGGTAAACTTAAAGAGAAGGAGTCATTTGGTGAGATCAGTATTCTTCTTCAAGATCCTTTCTCATGTACAATTATTACCGGAGGAGAAGTTGAGATGATGATTATCGAAGATAAGGATATACTTGGTAAATGCAAAAATGTTGTTTTCCTGTGGTACCTCCTATCCAAATGGATTTTAAAACAGGGCAAGGGTTTTTAATGGATAAATCAGGATATACAAGTGAATGTGGATATGTGAGTAACAGAGGTAAGAGATACACAAGATAGATGATAGACAGACAGACAGGCAGATAGATAAGATGGTAGATAGATAGATAGATAGATAGATGCTTTCTTATATTATTCTGGCTTTTTTGTTACTATCAGGTAATATTAGGCATCTTTTAAAAGAGTGATTTGAAATTACTAGTCTCTTGATAATTTACAAGGTACTGTTAAATGTAGCAATCCTAATTTAACATGAATGTTTTATGTTCACATTTAAGGTCTTCTTTAAGATTTTTGAATCAGATCAAATATGTGCAATGGTAAATGTGCAAAAAAACTCAACACACACACACACACACACACACACACACACACACACACACACATATGCATGCATACCCAAACACACATAAGCATGCACCCATACATAGATACATGCATGTTCATGCATACCCACATGTAAAAACACATGCATGCACATACAAACATACACATTGATCTCTATTTTACAATATTTAAGTTTTATACTGAAAGGGAAGCTGTTGAGAGAACTTATTTTTGTCTTAGTTTGAGACCAAAGGTCAGAAAAGTGAATGTGTTTGTATATGTGTGTACCTGTACATGTGGAGGGAAAATTTAATAGGTTCAGGAGTTGAATGTTTGAGAATCTGTTGTCTTAATGAATGAAAATAATATGTTCCAGATTAACAAGTGAGATAGAAATAAGTGATACAGAAGGAGAGAATTCACCCTTCATCTGTCTTTGCTCATATATTGGGTAATTGAATGTTACCTGTTAACACTTCTGACTGTGAATCTTTACTTCTCAGTCTTCTAATTCAGGTACTAATCACTTTTAGAGATATCCTTATACACATAATTGGAAATACTTTTCACCATATATCTGTGAATTCCTTAGCCCAGTCAAATTGACACATAAATTAATCAGCAAACAAAATAATGTCTTTCTTTCAAACATGTATTAGAATCTTCTTTCCCATCTGGCAGCCCCATATTTAAATAAATAGCATAGTAAGGATTATATTGTTGTTGTGCATCCTATTCCTCTCCTGAACATTATTTTATAGTTCATTTATTTTAAGACTGATTCCCAAGGCTACTGTCATGCTATTTTCTTGATACATTAGTCCCTAGGGAGAACTATGATTAGAAATTATATTTTATTCCAGAATATATTTATATTTCTACATTCTAAGTATTTTATGTTGTATTTCAAGAGAGTAAATTTTAAAACACAAAATTGTTTATTGAGAGGAACATCTTTACCCATGAAAAATGAACTTTAATTTGATCTTTCTGTATACGTATGTTTATGCATGGAAGCAGATGGGTGTATGGTGTTGGGGAGGGAACCGAGGGCATTTGCATAGAGGGCAATTACTGAGACACTGTTTATTCAAAATTTGTTTTCTTAAAATTATTTTTTTAAAACAATTTGGTATTTGACTGTATTATACACATACATAACACATTGTGAATACTCTTACCTTATACCAATTCACATCCTCTTCCAATCCCTGTCAACATCCCAGTAATAATACAAGACTCTTCCATATTTCTATATTTTATTTTATGAACTGTTGTGTTTAACCACTATCATCTTCATGGCTGTGGCTTTGGAACTGTCAATTGGAGACTGGTGAACTGACCAATAGGTGACTTTTTGTCGTTTAATCAATATCCAGTAGTTCTCAAGGTAGTGGTAGGGTTCTTTAAACCACTCCCTTGCCCATGACTGACTATTTTTAGGTACAATTTAGTGCAGAACCAGTCAGGAAATATACGTTGTTTTGAGATCATAAATATAATGGCTGTGTCTTTACCAGAAAATAATTTCACCATATTTTGCCTCCTGCTTTCTTTTTGTCCTGTCTTCCAAAATGTTCTCTGAGCCTTGGAGAGAGAAGTAGTAAAATGCACTATTAATAAGTAAGCATAAAACAATCAGTTATTTATTTTGATGTTGTTATTGCATCGTTAAAATTTTTTATAAACCGTCATTTATACTTTGGTATAAATAAAGGCAAATTTCTGTCAAAACATTATTGTTCATGTTACAACCACATGGTAAAGAATAATATAGACAATATTTAGAAGAACAATGAATGACTGAAAGCCCAAGACTTGAACTATTTTCCATGAGAATGTAGGACCAAGTAAATTTACTTTATCAAATGATATGCATCAAATATTATTAAACATGCATGCATTTACTTTTAGAATTTGATCAACTATCATGCTTATTTTTCCTCTATTTTTACTTATTGAAATAAATTATTTTAATGTAATATATTCTGATTATTGTTTTCATGCCCTGAACTCCTCTAAGATCCTCCCTACCTTCCCTTCCACACACACACACACACACACACACACACACACACACACACACACACACACACGGGAATTTTCTACTGTATTAGGTTTCCTTATGGTCCTCACTTTCAGCTGTCCCTGCACATATACCCTCATTTGTCCACTCTTTCCTCCTACTTCCCTTTTGACCATTCTCTTTCTGTCCCATCTTTATCCATCCACAGTTACCTATTTTCCCCCTCCTAAGAAGGTCCATTTTCCCCCAGTCCCTTACTCTCTACCCTTTGTGGTTATATGCATTGTTGCTTACTTACCACTTACTTAAGAGCTAAAATCCTCATATGAGTGAATACATTTCATGTTTCTTTGGTATCTGGGTACCTAACTCAGGATTAACTCCATAACTTACTGGAAACTTTCATGGTTTCATTTTTCCCGCAGTGGCTGAGTAATATTCCCTTGTGTAAATGTTCCACAGTTTTAAATCTATTAATCTATTATTTAACTATTAGACTGTTTCAAATTTCTGGGTATTGTGAGTAGTGCAACAACTAACATGGCTGAGTAAGTATTTGTGTAGTCAGATGAAATGTTTTTTTGGGTAAAACCTGAGCATGGTATAGCTGGATTTGGAGGGAGATAAATTTTCATGATTCTGAAGAGTGGCCACATTGATTTTTATAGTAGCTATACATGTTTGCACTTACACCAGCATTGGAGGAGTGTTCTTTTTGCCAGCATGAGCTGTCATTTGCTTTATTGATTTCAGCCATTTTGACAGGTATGAGATGAAATCCTAAAATAGTTTTGCATTTCCTGAAGACTAAGGATGTTAAACATTTTTTAAAGTGCTTCTCACCCATTAGTGTTTTCATTTTTGAGAACATTCTGTTAGATCTTTACCCCAGTTTTAAAAATTGGCTTGTTTTCTTTCTGCTCATGCTTTGTGTTCTTTACATATTTTGGATGTATATGTGGTAAAAAATATTTTCCATTCTGTAGGCTGCTGCATGGTTTGAGTGATGGTGTCCTTTGTAGTGCAGAAGCTTCTCAGTTCCATGAGGTCCAATTTATAAATTCTTCATCTTAGTGCCTGTGTTTATGATATTCCTATGCTGGTAACTTCAAGGCTATTCCCCATATTCTGTTCTATCAGATTCAGTATATCTAGCCTGATGTTGAGGTCATTGCTATTTTTGGATTTTGGTTTTTGCAGGCTGATCAGTGTGGATCTATTTGTTCCACATGCAGCCATCCATTTTGAACAACACCATTTGTTGAAGATGTGGGGTTGGTGAATATCTTTCCCATTCTGTCGGCTATCATTTTTTTCTTTTTGACTGTTTCCTTTGCCTTACAGAAGCTTCTCAGTTTCAAGAGGTCCTATTTATTAATTGTTCATCTCAGTGTCAGTGCTACTGGTATTATATACAGGAAGTACTCTCTTGTACCAATTTGTTCAAGAGTACCGCCCACTGTCTCTTCTAAGAGGTTCAGTTTATGTTGAGATCTTTGATACATTTGGACTTTAGTTTTGTGCATGGTGATAGATATGGATCAGTCTGCAGTTCTACACGCCATATCCAGTTATGCAAGCACCATTTGTTGAAGATGCTTTTTTTTCCATTGTAAAAATTTAGCTTCTTTGTCAAAAATCAGGTGTTTATAGGTGTGTGGGTTAATATCAGGGTTTTCAATTCAATTCCATTGGTCTTCCTGTCTATTTTGTGACAATACCAACCTGTTTTCAGGACTATAGCATTATAATAATAGAGATTGAAGTCAGGGATGGTGATGCCCCTGGAAGTTCCTTTATTGTACAGGGTTTCTTTGGCTATCTTGGGTCTTATTTTTTTCCATATAAAGTTGATGATTGTTCTTTCAAAGTCTGTGAAGAATTGTGCTAGGATTTTGATGGGGCTTGCATTGAATCTATAGATTACTTTTGGCAAGAATACCATTTTCACTATGTTGGTCCTACTTATCCAAGAACATGCGAGATCTTTCCATTTTCTGGTATCTTCTTTAATTCCTTTCCTTAAAGACTCAAATTCTTATTATATAGATTGTTCTCTTGTTTGGTTAGTGTTACCCCAAGATATTTTATGTTGTTTATGGCTATTGTAAAATGTGATGTTTCTCTGATTTCTTTCTTTGCCCCTTCATTTTCTGTATATATTAGGCTTACTGATCTTTTTTGAGTTAATCTTGTATCATGCTACTTTAATTAAGGTGTATGAGTTGACTGGTAGAGTTTTCTGGGTCACTTACATAAACTATTATATCATCTGCATATAGTGAAAGTTTGACTTCTTTCCAATTTGTATCACATTTATCTCCTTTTTATGTCTTGTTGCTCTAGCAACAAGTATATTTCAAGTATAATATTAAAGAGATATGTAGAGAATGGTCATCCTTGTCTTGTTATTGATTTTAGAGGAATTACATTGAGTTTCTCTCCATTTAGTTTGATAATGGCTGATGGCTTGCTATATATTGTTTTTATTATGTTTAGTTATGTCTCTGTTATCCTAGATGTCTCTAAGACCTTTATCATGAATGTTGGATTTTGTTGAAGGCATTTTTA